GAGAGAGATAAAGAGCATATGTTCACTTGGAAGATGAGGGTTAAGAGGAATGGAGATCAGTGATTTGATTATGTAAATCACTAGACAGTATTAATGGGGTAAAGTAATAGACGTCAGGCTCACAGAGTATGGTAGATCGAACTAACACCCTAGTGAAAGGCCAAAAATTATGTTTTTCCGCCCATAAACAAAAAGAAACAGATCAGAGAACAAAAGGAAGACCCAAAAAATGAAAATAGCACAAGGTAGGAAAATCTAAATAATAGCAAAGAGGTCTATCACAACAAGTATAAGATATTTATTTCAAAACAGATTGTAATATTTACCGAAATGAACTAACTTAGTTTGGATCAATAATAAGGAGACATATGAACACCTCAAAGATTATCTACATGAAGTGCTAAATGCTAAAAGAAGTGCTTGTGAAAATACCGTTTTCAATAAGAAAAAGGAGAGGGAAGAGCTTATTGGAGGGGGAATAGAGGAGAAGAAGAAGACTGTATGAAAATGAAATGAAGAGAACCAAGAGAAATAGAGAAAGGAATATAAAAATCCAACGAAAGAGAGATGAAACCTCAAAGAAAAAGAAAAACAACAATCATTGTAGCGTAAATGTCAAGAAAGAGAAATGTACATAGTGGAACAAAAAACAAGTGAGATTTGAAAGTTCATAAATATGTAAAATTCCCCAACCGGAAAAAGTCCTGCATTATGATTGTTGTTTTTCTTTTCTTATGAGGTTTCTATCTCTCTTTCGTTGGATTTTATATTCCTCTCTATTTTCTTCTTGGTTCTCTTCATTTTCATTTTTCATACAGTCTCTTCTTCTCCTCTATTCCCCCTCCTATAGCTCTTCCCTCTCCTTTTCTTATTTAAAGGTATTTCACCAAGCACTTCTTTTTAGCATTTATCACTTCATGTAGATAATCTTTGAGGTGTTCATATGTCTCCTCATTTGATCCAACTAAGTTATCATTCAGTAAATTATACAATCTGTTTTGAAATAAATATCTTATACTTGGTTGTGATAGACCTGCTATATTATATTTCCTACCTTTGCTATTTTCATTTTTGTCTTCCTTTTGTTCTCTGATCTGTTTCTTTTTGTTTTATGGGCGAAAACATAATTTTGGCCTTCACTAGGTGTTAGTTCGATCTACATACTCTGTGAGCCCTGACGTCTATTACTTTACCCATTAAATACTGTCTAGTGATTACATAATCAATCACTGATCTCCTTCCTCTTACCTCATCTTTCCAAGTGAACATATGCTTATCTTTATGCTGGAAGTGTTTCTAATTATAAGATCATGCTGTTTACATAGTTGAATCAGTCTTTTTCCATTTGAATTTTCCACCTCTTCTCCATGTTATCCAGTTACTTTTGAGCTCTCAGATCTCTTTTGTAATCTTCTTGTTCCATTGGTGAGATCATACCCGTACGCTTCATCCCTCAGTAGAAATGTAGGCTAGGATTGCTGCCTAACTCTTCGTCATTTCGATATCCTCTTCAGCGCACTGTACCAGATGTTCTCTTCGTGCGCCCCCGACCTCTTCTAGAGTATTTCATCTGACCCCTCCCCCTTGACCAGTCCGGCAAGGGAGGCCCTGCCTGTAGCTATGCTTCCGCCAGGACAGCTCTCGGGATCATGGGGTACTTAAGTTCCACCACCACCGTCAAGGTCATGTACTCTCTAGGTGAAGTGCTTTACTTCCTATTATTTTTTCTTTTCTTTTTCATTAAATTTTGTATGTATTTCTGAGTGAGAGTTGAGTAACACGTTTAGTGCTTTCAAACAATGCTTAATAAAATGCGAGTTGTTTTAGTGTATACACTGAGTGAAAGTTGTTTATCAAATGAGTGAACAAGTTATATAATGAAAGATCCTTCAGGTCTGTGCACAGGCATTTCCTCCTGCAGTATTTTCTGTGTTTTATACTAAAAATTGTATTAATTACATCCTGAATAAAAATTTTAAAAAATGAAAATTGAAATCTAAGAATTACACCAGAGTAATTGCCAGGATGCAATAAAATTAAAGTACAAAATGAATAAGAGATCAGAAACAAATAATTGTTGAATTAAGCTCTTATACATATAGTAAAAGGTAACTGATTAACCGGAAAACATTATAAATTGCTTCAAAATTTGAATCAAAGTAGACTATTGCACAAACTAACCATTTACCGTTCTGGCCAGCCTGTTAAATGGATTGTTTTAACTATAATTTGTTGTAGAAATATTGAGTCCAAAATGAGGATGGATTCTGGTTCTCCTTACAGGGGTAACAACTGAGATACAAGATTCAAGTTTTGAAAAATCGATAACATCTTGTAATAACTTCTAGAAGAAAATCAGGTTGTTAAATTTTTCCAAAGTTAAAATCCTGTGCAACAATTATAGTAATACATACTTGCTGGCATTGTTGTCATATCAATTAATATTTTAAATGAACTCAGTTTTTTAGATTCATTTATATTTAAACTAGTGGCTACATTGAATTTGTAAGGTTCCAAAATTCACCTATGTAGAGTAGATCTTAGTACACGTAATTTGTGAGCTTCAAGCTATTTGTTGAAAAGATTTGTGAAAAATGATTAAATGTGCGATTTGTTGTTCAAATAATTATAATTTTACATAAATATTTCTGATGCTATTAGAAAGCATTGTTATCATTCTTTGCATTCATTTCTATCGTTCTTTCATTTATTTGTTCATTTCTACCAGGATTTTATAACCATGATATTGGAATAATTCAAATAGTTCAGTTTATACTAACTAAATTATTACTTTCCGTCTATTTGCTCCAGGCAGCAGCTTTTCAGCCATTCTTCAGATCTCATGCGCACATTGACACGAAGCGCCGTGAACCTTGGCTGTTTGGCGAGGAGACCCTTGGAGTGATCCGAGAGGCACTTCGCAAGCGCTACTCTCTTCTGCCACTGTGGTACACTCTGTTCAGGGAGCATGAGCTCACTGGGGCTCCAGTAATGCAGCCACTGTGGGCCCAGTTCCCCACAGAGACCGACACATTTGCTATTGATGACGAATATTTGCTAGGTGGGTAATGAATAATTTTTTGGAATAGTCATCTTCAGCACAGTATACAAACATATATTGTAGTGGAGCTTATTGTTAAATGCCCTATAATGACATGTTGGTCAGCAACTAGCAATCCATTTGGCAATCAAGAAATACTAGACTGCCTTATAATTTGTAAATGCTAAATCTAACCAGAAAGTAAATGTTTTTTTATATATTTTACTTTCCTTACGCATATAACTAAAACAACACGTAAAGATTTTTTAAGGAAAGAAATTATTTAAATCTTGTGAATGTTGAAAGTGAATAGTGGAATCGTAAGGAAGTACAAGTATTTCTATATTATTTACCACCATTGTCAATTATACAAATTAGGGACATTACAACACTATGCAAAATTAGGCGCATTTAGAGGAAGTATTGAAATGTGAGGGATATTAAATGACATTAAGAGTCTGTCTGAGAAAACGGCACTTTCTTTTCCACCGGGAGTGCCTACACCTGACCTGAGTGCTTTTTAAGTAAACTTGGTAGCTGTTCCTGCAAGTAGGTGCAAGAAAGGAGCATGTCAATGTAAAAATATTGAGTTTCTATTTTGCTCATAATGAAACTTCAGTTAGTTGTTTTTCTCACTTGCATATTATTTTCCTTCAGTCCCCCGAAAAAGGTATAAGTGAAGTTGTAGTGTATTATTTGAATGTCATGGACATTTCTTTATATAGTGTTGTACATTATAATTAAGTATTTGATGTTAGACTAGATAAAAGAGCTTGGTAAGGCAGATGATCTATAAAGTGAAATTGCTCTTCAATCTTTCACAAAAGCCCTTGAACACCTCCAGATGGTCTGAAGGCTTTATTTTTGAGAACAAACATGTTGTTTTTAGTTTGATTTTCTTTATTAAGATGTATTTTATTTATTAGAAAATATGTTTGATATCTATACTTCTTAGAAACGTCCGCCTTGCAGAATTTAAATTTTCCTTTCTATACCAGTTTTCTTGTTTTATCAATTGTCTTTTAATTCTGTTTTAGGTGACAGACTCCTTGTTCACCCTGTAACAGAGGCTGAAGCCTCAAGTGTGACAGTCTATTTCCCAGGCCCTGGACAGATTTGGTATGATATGGACAGCTATGAAGCGATCCATGTTAGCAGTAAACATTCTGGTGGACGTACAGAGCAAATTCCTGTCAACATTCGGAAGGTATTTTAAAAATTGATTAAAACATTAAATATAATCATGTTAACGAGCAGTGTAAAATAATTTACACAGGAAGAAGGTCTTTAAAAAATATAAGTTAAAATGTGTAGTGCTTCGTGCTGTTATGTCAATTCACAGTGAGAAGGAAAAGCAAAGAGAAGGAGAACTGTGCAAAATTTCATTGGATTTTGAGAATAATCTGTGACACACAGAAGTAGAAATTTTGAATTTTAAGAATGTGACATTTTTATTTTCTAATATTTTGAAAGTGTGAATCCTATAGTTTTAGGGGATATGAACATAATCCAATGTTAAGAATTTAAATGACTTTCTGATTTGAACCTTTAATTCTGAATTGAAATTATCAAATTTTAATATTTATAGAAATTGCAGAAATGTTGTGATAATTAAAATAAGTAGAGAAGTAGGTATTTTAATTCCAATTATGAAAAAAATATCCAAGCTTTATATTAATCTTTTTGAAAAATGTTGAATACCTTGTCCCAATTTTTAATAGATTTATACGAGGCATTTATTCTGCAGAGGCTGCAAAAGTGCACTTAACACACTTATTCGTTGATTTATAAGCATATTTAAACTGTATAAGTCACACTTTTTTTCTGGATAGTAACTTGTGAAATGGGTGTGTGGCTTATACACAAGATTTTTCTTAAAAAAATATATATATATAAATAAATTATAACCTTGTGTATGTGGTACATATGTTAGTTAAATTTAATAATTTTTATCGCTCTCAGATTTAGTCAAATCACCCCATCGTCACTTTCAAAATCACTGGAAACGTCCCATAATAATCTTTGCCCTCACCCCGCTTATTTGAAATGACGCACAATTTAAAACTTTTCGCAACCAGTTTGCCTGATATCGATGCCCATGCCCTCAAAATCCATTAGCACATGTTGTTCGGCGTGCTCTTCTTGAGACAGACAGTTGGAGTCGTAGCTTCTATTCGTTGCACCCATGTATGGTCAAACACCGCTTGTGCACTTTGAAGTGCTGGTTAATAGCCATGTTTAAACGTTGCAGCATCCAGGTCATGCCGCCCAGAATCACTGCTAAATCTCATTGTTCTCCTTCAGTGTACTTCTTAACCTGTCAGTTGGGTGAGCCCGGAAACTTTCCAAAATTAGTATGGACTGTCGTTTCAGCAGCACACCAGGCCGCTGCAATCACATGCGTCATCCAGTTCAGGTTTTCATTAATTCACCTGTTCGTCCCGTCCCGTCTGTCCGCTGTCCATTTTCCTGAACACAAAAGATTATCCTAGGGAGAATTTTCTCCTCGGCATAGTTTTCCGTCTGAAAATTGCGTATGGCGGCAACAACTACCCATCTGCCGTTATCTCCATCGTAACGGTGCTAGGTTGCTTCTCTGCATTTGGGAGTTCTGCTAGTTCTTATGGGAACACTTGTCTCGCCCACCATAGCCACACTGACCTGTAGCTCGTTTGAAATTTGGTAGAGGGGATTCAGAGTTTCCTGGTGATTTTGCTGCCCTCAAACAGCAGCCTATCTTGGAAAACGGCAAAACTTTGCTCCGGGTTCCTGAGAGCATTTCCGTCAATTGTTCTTCTACTGCTGTATATTACCATTTCTAGCCTTGAAATGCACATTTCTTGTAATTGATATTTTCCAATGTGAATTAGTTTTCAATCCACTGCTTCACACTCTTGTCGAGGTCGAACTCCCTCCCCGCTGCTCGATTCCCGTACCATTTGGCAAACTTGACTGCGGCTTATAAACAAGATTATTTTTCTTCAAATTATTGTGTTGAAGATCATTGGTGTGGCCTATACATTGCAAATATGATATTTTATTGGTCCCATGCGTCTTGAACGTCTATTAATACGCCACCCTACAGGTTTGTTAAGTGCACTTGTACCGTATATTAAGAAATTTAACATTCTTAGCAAAGTAAATAAACACCATAGATTCATTGCAAGTCAAATATTTATTAAGAAAAAATAGGCGGTGTACAAAACAAATCAGATTCAAACAATTCAGAAAAAAAGTAACTCGTTAGTTTTGGGGGACAATTATTGTTAATTGTAATATTAATAGAGAAAAAAGTGAATTAGGTAAATTAACCTAATTTTCCTGGCATTCCACCAAATGATTTTTTTCCATTAATCATATTTACTGACAATCTGAAGACGTTGCCACTGGATGCATCAATTTGCATCCATCTTTTTTCAAACGATGGTATAGAAATATGGTTTAAATAGATATATCGCAAGCAACACTCTACACTATTGTAGTAGCATGATGCAGCAACAGAATTCATTGCATTACTATTGCAGTAATGTTGTAAATGTTCACATAAATCATGATTTTTGTGATGACTGATAAAATTTTGAACATACCACATACCCAACAGTGTTATTACTGCCTCATCCAAATTAAAAATTTCAGCTCAGCATTTGACTGAATTTCTCCATATTTTACTCGATGAAGTAGTTTCAACCCTACATTTTATGAAATTCTAATGGATAATTGATTTGAAAAGTTCTTACACATTGTTTTTATCAATGTACACATTTTGGTGCCTCATCTCAAACCCAAAACCTTCACTTTCACCTTCAATTTCATCTTCATCCTGGTCTTCCTGTTCATCATAATCATCTTCTTCATTATATTCATAGTCTTCATCATAGTCTTCATATATCTTCCTTCATATTCGTCTTTGGCTTCATCATTGTCTTCTTCATATTCTTCACCGCCTTTATATTTGTCTTTGGCTTCATTGTCTTCATCGTCTTCTTTATTATCATCATTTTGTTCTCCTGCATCTTCTTTTTCTTCTTTTTCTTCTTTTTTCATCTTCTTTTTCTGCTTCTTCATTTTCTTTTTCATATTCTTCTTAGTTTTCTTTTTCATTTTTTCTTTCTTTCTTCAGTACCCTAATAACAATAGAATGAAATATCACCTTAAAGGTACACAACTGTAGGACACAAAAGCAATTTGTCTGCTGATAATACTTGAAAGCGCAGTTCAACTCAACAAAAGAACTAGAAGTCAGAGAATTGTCAAAATTATGTATTTTAAGCTAATGATTGTAATCCAATATGCATTATTTTAGGTGTGTTGATGGGTGAGGGGTTAGCTTACTGGCCTCTGAACTCGGGTACCATCACGGATTCCATTACCGCCGACGTGCCAGGATTTTCGAAGAGCGGAAAACCGACACTAGCCATGTCACTTGTGGCATGTAAAAGAACTCTGGCGTTATACCCAAACAAAATTAAATATCTTCGACAACATTTGCCCTAATGAGATATCACTCTTTCCAAGGCGGAGAAAATGAGAGTCAAATTCCAGGCATATTAGGTCTGCAAGGCATGCCTGCTTGATAAGGTCCCCAGACCCGTGTCAGAGGTTGGCTTCTACAGAAGCCTGGATCAAAATCTCTGGGAAGGCAACGGAAAACCACCCTGAAAAAAATGCCCAAGAAACCCACATGAGTGACCTAACTTCCATTTTGTGAAAGGCTAGGACCAAGAAGAGGGCATTATTTTCATCCAATTAATTTATCACATTAAGATGTCCATTATTGAAGGCGACAGTAGATTAAAGCATCACTACTGCAGAAAAATTGATCGCATATCCAGATATTTTGATGTTTGAGACTTAGATAAGCTACTTCTTTTGCATAATATTAATAAGAGATAAAATACAGGAAAGATATGTTTCAAAGGAAGGTTACAATTTATTTACAGGTTCCGTTGGCAGTTCATCAAGCATTAGGGTGTCACTAGCTTTATAATATAGGTGTTGTGGTAAATATCTTTGGCATTTTTAAAATAATTAAAGATGTTGTCATTGGCCAACAATGTTTTTTAATTCAAAGCAGCTTTCGATGGCTTAGGCCATACAATCAGTTGTCTGCTAGATGGAAGCCACAAAACGACTACCTGATGATGATGGCTAAGCCATCGAAAGCCTGCTTTTGAAATTAAAAACATTGTTGGCAATGACAACATCTTTAATTATATTAGGGTGTCTCCTATTGAGTGCTTGAATGTCACATTAGTGATGTCACTATAGTGGCATTTAAGCTCCTGACTGGATGACATCGTAACAACTGATGATCAGTTAAAGAACACTGTAAATAAATTCAAATACATGCATGCTTACTAAAAGTCACAGAAAGCCAGTGAATGAAGCAGCCATTGTTTGAATTGCTTTTAGGTTTCTAATAAAATAAGTAATTAAAAAAATTCTCCATGTTGAAGTTGTTGAAAACAACAGCTTGTTCTATTTGATAATAATTGATGAAGACATTAAAGCACAGGCACTTCTTCCCAATATTACTGATGTAATTGTCAATTGAAAGCCATTTTGTCATCAAAATGACATTGAAATCATTCTAGAGTTGACTAGATTGCATTGTGTACATTGGTGTTATCTACTGATGTGTTTGTTATCTTACTATGTTTCTGCTGTTTCAGGTCCCAGTGTTCCAGAGAGGAGGTACTATAGTTCCTAAGAAAGAGAGAATTCGCAGAGCAGCCTCCCTTTCTTTGGATGACCCATTTACTCTCCTGGTGGCTTTGGATGTGAATGTGAGTGGCACATTGAATATTAATTTTTCATTTATATTTTCTAATGTTGTATTTGAGAATAACCTTGAGGAAATAATAAAGAGGTAATTACAAATGCTTTACTGGAGGCTATTACCTTGTTTAAGTCCTGAGTAAAATCTTTTCTGCTGCACAACTGTTTCCGTTCAATTAGAGACTATACGAAGCATCATAAAGGAAGTTAATATTAATTTTAACAATGATATTGAATGCATTTTTTACAATTTGGACTGTGTAATTCTCAACAACCTGTAACTAGTATTCAGTATATAAAAGTACATGTACCTCAGCTTCTGGGTCAATGACCCTCATCTTTATCTGTTTTCCTGATCTTTTGACCAATTAATGAAATTGCCCTTCTTTTGCTTCTGGTCATGCATGTAACTTCATTACCTGTGGAAGTATATTCTGCAGATTGCGGCAGAAGTATATTCCATCACAAATGACATGATGAGCGATAAGAACCCAAGTCTATAGGTAATTTGCCTTTGAAAATAGATTTTATTACATCAAAGTGAATATTTTGTGATCACTTCTTGCCGGAAGCGCTAATTTCTGTTTGATTTCAGAATTCAACTTGTATATGGTTTAGGGTAGGGATCCCAGAATACACTTCTCCCCGTAGCATGTCACATACACTTTTTAATGATTTTTGATGTAAAATAAAAAAATAGAATGTTCACTACAGTGTCACTCTCCAGAGGCATAGTAAATACAGGCAATTAGTACGAATTAAGAGTGTTTGCTTTCTCCAGAGTATTACAAATGGATCTCCCATCTCCTGTTTTTAACAAAGTAGTTGTAATATCCATTTCCCTGATATCATTTCACTTACTTGTAAAATTCCCCCTAGCTCTTGTCCTTATTATATATAACTGAATTTAGAATTTTCTTCTTAGGCAATCTTCTTCACCTCTAATATTTCTTTTGCCAAAACGCAAATAATTGGTTCCTGTCTATTTCATCTATTTTGTTCAGCCAGGTGTTGTTGCCAGCTTCACTTTTGTTTTAAGCTGGCTAATATGTTCGTTATAATATTCGGGATTTGAATTATTTTTTAAAATTTTGTGCGGAACAAAGTGCTCACAACACTTCAGCATAATGGGCTTATAGATATCCTGATCACTCATGCCAGTTCCCGTGTAACAAGCGTATTTACCGTGCAAAAGCCCTAAAACATGGGTACAGTAGTGAATATAGGTTGTTAGATAAGATTCTGCCCCAATTATTAGATTAGATTTAGTTAGTCAAAAAACAGTAAATACTGTATATGACGTAAGGGGGAGAAGATCATCTCCGCACAATTTCTTGAGTTCCAGAATCCCTTCCCATCATTTTAACTATAAATAGTTATGGAAAAGTTAAAGATAAATATATAAATAAAAAAATAAAAAATTCAAAAAGCATGAGATTAGCAACATTTGAAAAACTAGACATTTTAATCATAAATTTTCCAGAGTTATAGAAAACTTATTTGCAACAGTAAACAAGCTGCAGATTTGATTTTTCTGCATTGCTAACTGAATAGTAACTTGCTCTTTCCTCTACTCCTACCACTACAAGCAAAAGGAGAGTTCTACAAAATGAGCACATTGTAAAGCTACATTTACGTCCAAAAGTGAAACAAGGGGCCATCTCAGCATTTGCTCAATGGATCACGGAAACTGGACAAAAACCTGATCGAAATGGGGATCATTGACCCGGAAGCTGAAGTACATTATTTAATAAAGCATATTAAGTCTTTTTAAAAAAATATACAGTACAAATGTAAACTAATTCATTATATATCACTGTTTTTTTAAACAAACATTATTTTTCTTTTTGATCAGTTTAGTCGCTAATTGTATGGAAACAGTTATGCAGCAGAAAATATTTTACTTTTAACTTAAATTTGTGTATCAACTCAACGGTTTAATGTTGTCTGGCAATGCGTTGTAAAGAAACGTACATGTATGTGGATTTCTGGTAGTGAGCCATTGATACTGATACTTGATGAAAGTGATTTCTATGACATGAGTTGCAATTATAAATATCAGTATTGCATGCAAATATGTTACCACAGTTATTATGTCTGGATGGTAAACATCAAATTCCACAAATTAATTGCTTTATGGTACAAATGTCTACAGTTAACCTGCAGGAGCAGTAGCAACTTGCCCATAACAGTTCCTTTAGTCAGACCTTTTGCCAAAACTCTCTAATGCTGCCACTGCAATGGAGCTAGTCCCTTTTCCCCCGCCCTTATAGCCACTGTCCGTAGGACACGTGCATCGGCACCAGCAACGGGACACACGAGAGCGTGTGCAGGACTCTGCAATGCTGGTTTAGAGACCGCTCTGCAACACCCCTCTGGTTGAGATGGATGCCATAATGATCAAGGGCGCTCTCTGAGATCCACCCATTCAAATCCACAACAATGAACCCCTAGCTTAAAGGCCGCCCAGTCCATGTCGCGATTTACCTTAGAGATTTTATGGGACCAAACATCCTGGCGGCCAAGGCACTATGCAATATGTGGGCGGATGGAAAGCACCTTTTAGCTGACATACCAGGATGAGTTGACTCCCATTAGGTGGTAAAATGAGCAACATCTTGAAATGTTGGAGCCTGAGTGTTTTGGGAGCTTCTACATCGCTGACTTGAATTTTATACTTCAACATCTCTACGCAGATTCCCGCTTAGCATTTTACATAGAGATTTTCGTGACCCACAATAGTCGGCATACACATTGCACTTCTTGGGACACTTGCAATTTTCGTCCTGGCAAGTTCCTTTAGTCCCTCGGTCTCGCCAAGATCCAACCTACGCAGCTCATGTTTTGGCATGTAACCCTCCATGCATGCAGTGCTGGCTCCTCCAGGTTCAAAACACTCACTGATATTTCTTTAATATTGTGGATGTAGAAATATGCCAAAGAAATTTTGAACATTTGCAACTTGTGTCTGGGTGCTCTAGTGTTAAAAGAAAATAATAAAAAATACCTAGTGATACCTATGTACATGGCATCTTCAAGTTTGAAATCAACACATTTCTTCATTAAAGTTCAATCCCATATCTTTCCATCCCATTCATTGTTTTCAAGTATAATAAACCTAGTAACAGGTATGATGACTCTCCCAAATATTTAAGTCGTTTCAATTGGTAACTGTACTACCATCAATAAATGCTCTGCTAATACAACATTACATCTTTTACTTAAAATGCTCCACTCAGTTTCAGAATTCTGCATAAAGCATCTTACATTCTCACTCAAGAATGTTCAGTTCTCTTCTCACTATTAATTTTTGTGCTTTAGCTTAGTGTCCATTGCATCAACATGTGACATTATCAACATGTGACTTCCTATTTTAGTAGGCTCTATCTATACTTGTATTTCTGTTTTGGAATCAATCATGGGCGAAATAGAAATAACATATGATGACAACTCATAACAGTAATGAATCTAGATTTATTTTTATTATAATAAATACTTAATGTATTAAAATCTTTTCAATTTTTTATCTTATTAATATATCAAATACATATTTATTAAATGTAAGAGGAGGATGTGCAATTATAAAGAATGAGATTATGATGATTATTTTTTCAGGGAACAGCCTCAGGAACAGTCTACATTGATGATGGTCGAAGCTATGAGTACAAGCAAGGGAAATATCTATACCTGGATTTGAAATTTGAAGGAAAAACTTTAACATCAAGGTAATACTAAACATTTCAGTGATTTTGATAGAAAACTTTTGGAATTCCTTGACGCTATAAAGAAAGAAATCTTTCACAGTGTAGTGAATAAAATACTCAAATTTAAACAATACATATTGCAGTGATTATTTGCCTATCTTCAGTGGTTTTATTGTAATTCTTCCACGATTGTTCTTTATTTTCTATTTGAATACTATATTTCATGAAATTGTCATTTTAGAACCCTAATCCATTCCACCCAATATAGTACAAACCTGCTTTTTATGTTCCTGGAATTTACATTTTGCCACACTTTACACCATTTTTCCCGGGTCCCTTCAGGTTTCCTATGTTCATGCTGCTAAATTATCCCCATTTTTACACTTTCGAAATTAATTTTTTTCCTGCATTTTGCACTTTTCAAAGCCATTACGTATCTGTGAATGCAATTTTTTTCAAGATATTTTGGCTTTCTCTCACGGGTAGATTTATACTGTTTGATACAAATTCTAATCGATCAAGGGATATTACTTTGAGAGAAAATCGGCAGAACGGTTTCAGCGCTGGCATTACCCACGGATAGATAGAAAGACAGATAGACTTTTGCCATAAAATCGATTTTTCTGTATCAAGGGCCCACAAAACATGGATTCTGGCTACACCACATGTTAGAGGAAGTAATTTATTCTAAATGGCAACAGAATGTATCCGCTTTATTGTAGTGAGGGCTTGGCAATAAAAGTTTGCTGAAAATTTGCCGTTTTGTGGCACATGATTACCCAAGTTTCTCTTCTTATTGTTAGTGGGAGTAAGTAAAAATATTAAAATTATTGAATTTTAAAGTGGAAAATATTAACTAAAAGTGGATTGTAAAATTTTCAGTATTTTATTTTACATGCCTCTATACACTTTCCCGCGATTTACACCATTTTTCTTGGCTCCTTGAAAAGTGTAAAAGAGGGGTTCTACTGTATTTCAATGTAATTTTGAGTACTTGTGCATTGCATTTCCCTGCCATTACAATCTTTTCTCACATCAATTTATTTACATATACAGTTTTTTTTGTCATTACTTTCTTAACATAAAATACGGTTAAAGGATTGCAAAAAAATAATATTTGAAGTGGGTTGCAATAAACAGCAATTTTGATTGTGTGTGGATAGCAAAATTGAGAATTGATTTAAAGATTAAAATATTACAGAATACTTTCCTGAAAGATGTAATGGGATTTTGGTAACATTTTTAAAAGAACCACATTTCAGAATTTAAAGTGAGAACATTTTTACATTTTTGCATATAATCCAAGCTGAAGCTTTCCAAAACATTTTACAGTAAGCACAAAATTGAAATTAACAGGACTTCAACACCATCCAACAACCCATAGGCAATTGTCATTCATTCTGAAAACAAGTAAATAATTAAAATCAAGTGAAAGTAGTACAAAAAACACTGACACAAGGCCCACGAATTTACACAACTTGTAGATGCAATTTTTACTTCCCTGATTGCATATCAATGTTGATGCTTTTCCATTTCATCCTGTGTCAATACCAACTTACACTGCAGTTGTCCATGTTTCCATACAACACCCAAAAGCTCTGCTCTTTCAGATTTTCATTTATTATTATTATTATTATTATTATTATTATTATTATTAT